AAGAAATATCAATGATCTCACTCAACACCTTCATCAAATGGAAAAAGAACAGCAATCAATCCTACAGCCTCTAGAGAAAAAGAAATTATAAGGACAAGAGCTGAAATCAAAAGGTTAGAAAGCAGAAAAGCAATTGAAACCATCAATAAGACCAGGAGCTTGTTTTTTTGAAAGGGTCAATAAAATTGACAAACCACTGGCAAACTAAACAAAGAAAAAAAAGAAAAGACACACATAAATTAAGAAATGATAGAGGTGATATCACAACAGAATCAGAGTAAATTAAATTGATAATAAAAAAATACTATGAAAAGCTATACACTGATAAATTTGAAAACCTAGAGGAAATGGACAAATTCCTTGCAACTCATACCCTACCAAGACTAAAAAAGACAGATGTAGAACACTTGAACAGAAACATCAAAAAAAGAAGAAATTGAAGAGGTCATAAAAAGATTTCCCCATAAGAAAAGTCTGTATAGCATTCAACTGAGTTCTACCAAACATTCAAAGAAAATTATCAATTCTACTTAAATTATTTTAAAATGTTGAAAAAGAAGGAATGCTCACTGAGTCATTCTATGAACCAAAATTAGGCAAAGATATTACCAAGAAGGAAAATGACAGACCAATACAATTCATACAGATAAAAAAATCATTAACAAAATCTTAGCCAATAGAATCCAAAAGTACAACAAAAATAATTCATCATGACCAAGTGGGATTCATAACAGGTAGGTAAGGATGGGTGATTATAAGAAAAACAATCAAGTTAATTCACCATATTAACAAAGCAAATAACAAGCAGTTAGTAGTTCATGCAGAAAAGGCATTTGACAAAATTAAACACCCCTTCCTGATAAAGATACTCAGCTAAATTAGAAGGGGATTTCTTCAGTATAGTAAAAAGTATATATATGCAAAACCAAGAGTCAGTATCATTGTCAATGGAGAAAGGCCTTTTCCTTGTGAACAGGGACCACACAAGGATGCCCACTGTCACCACTTTTATTCAGTATTGAATTGGAAGTGCTTGCTAGGACAATAAGAAAAGAGAAGGAAATAAAAAGCATCCAGAAAGGCAAAGAGATGGTTGAACTATTGCTATATGCAGATGATATGATAGTGTACACAGAAAAACCCAAAGACTCAACAAAAAACCTGTTAGAGCTAGTAGGCCAAGTTAGTAGCGTGGCAGGATATAAGATCTATATTCAGAAATCAGTGAGATTCCTCTATAATAACAAAGAACTCAGAGAAGAAACTAAGAAAGCAATACCATTTATAATAGCCAACCACACAAACTGAGATATTTGGGAGTCAATCTAACCAGAAATACAAAACACCTGTAAAAAGAAAACTATGTAACATTTCTACAAGATACCATAAAAGGCCTAAAGAAAAGAAGTAACCTGTTCATGGATAGGAAGACTCAATATTGTGAAAATGACAGTCCTACCAAAAGCAATCTACATATTCAATGCAATCCCAATTCAGATACCAAATTCATTTTCCAAGGAGATCGAAAGTGAAATTGTTAAGTTTATTTGGAGAAGCAAGAGACCTTGAATAAGCAAAACATTTCTGAGAAAAAAAAAATGAAGCAGGAGGCATATAGCACTCCTTGACCTCAAAATCTACTACAAAGATGTAATTGCTAACAACTTAAATCTCTTCTCCATCTACCGTGGTGCTGTCAATCGGCCCAGTGGTGAGAATCATTGTCTTCTTAATGTTGAGCTTCAATTCATATTGAAAATTACAGTCCTTGATCTTCTGCAGCAAGTGCTTCAGGTCTTCTTCAGTTTCAGCAAGCAAGGTTGTGTCATCTGCATATCGCAGGTTGTTGATGAGCCTTCCTCCAATTTTTTTGCCACACTCCTCATAAAGCCCTGCTTCCCGAATGACCTGTTCTGCATACACATTTAAAAGGTATGGGGACAGAATGCACCACTGATGTACTCCTTTTCTGATTTGGAACCATACAGTGTTTACTTACTCTGTTCTGAGGACTACTTCTTGGTCCAAGGATAGGTTTCATATAAGCTTGATCAAGTATTCTGAGATTCCCATTTTCCTCAACGTTAGCCACAATTTATTGTGATCCACACAGTCAAATGCCATTGCAAAATCAATGAAATACAGACAGACATTCTTTCTGGTATTCTCTGCTTCCTTCCAAGATACATTTGACATTGGTAATGATGTCTCTAGTGCCGTGACCTCTTCTAAACACAGCTCATATTTCTAGTAGTTCTCTGTCAATGTACTGTTCCAGTAATTTCTGGACAATCTTCAGCAGGATTTTGCTAGTGTGTGATATTAGTTATATTGCTCGGTAATTTCCACATCCTGTTGGGTTACCTTTTTATTAGAATGGGAATAAATATGTATCTCTTCCAGTCAGTTGGCCAAGTAGTTGTCCTCCAGATTTCTTGGCACAACTTGGTGAGCACATGCAGGGCAGTATCTGTTTGAAATATGTCAATTGGTATTCCATTAGTTCCTGGGTCTTTATTTTTTACCAAGTAAGTCATTCAGAGCAGCCAGGATGAGATAGGAACTTTAAAAAAAATTTTATATATATATATATTACTATTTTAAGGAAAGTTACAGAAAACTTGGATTTCCATTCTTTCATTGTTGCACCTTTTCCTCACTCCTCCCACCCCCTTGTCCATCTTGCTAGGCACCCCTTATTCTACACCATTGTCATGCAAATAATTTCTAATCATATATGTCTATTAGACAGGTCTTTCCCTCATCTGTTTCAATGCAGTGTTCATTATTTTCCCCCTCTTTTCTTAGTTTCCCTCCAACCCCCATGTCAGTTTTATGACAGCGGAATTATGCAGTATTTTGTCCTTGGCTTATTGAGATATCTCATCCAGAATAATGTCCTCCAGGGTCACCCATGTTGTATAATATTTTATGAGTTCCTTGTTTTTCCGTACTGTGTAGTATTCTATTGTGTGAAAAATACCACAGCTTCTCTATCCATTCATTTGTTGATAGACAGACACTTGAGTTGCTTACATCTTTTTGCTATTGTGAACAATGGAGCAAAAACATGAGTGTGCATATATCTGTTTGGGGCAGCTCTGGTTTCTTTAGAGTACATTCCCATTAGTGCAACTGCTGGGTCAAATAGTACTTATATTTCCAACTTTTTGAGAAAGCTCCATATTGCCTTCCAGAGTGGTTGCACCATTGTACACTCCCACCAACAGTTAATAAGTGTTCAATTTCTCCACATCCTCACCAGCATTTGTTGTTTGCTGCTTTGCTAAACTTTATTATTATTACTGGGGTGAGAATATTTCATAGTTGTTTTGATTTGCATCTCTTTTAGAGCTAGGGATTTTGAACATTTCTTCATGTGCTGTTTAGCCATCTGAATGTCTTCTTCTGTGAAGTGTCTGTTCATATCCTGTGCCCATTTTTCTATTGGATTATTTACCTTTATCTTGTTGTGGTGCTCAAGTATTTTATAAATTCTGGATAAAATCCCTTATCTGATATGTCATTACCAAATACTTTTTCCCAGTCGGTGGCTCCAACCCTGTTGGAGAAGCTTTTGGATGTGCATAGGGATTTGATTCTTAGAAGGTCCCATTTATCTATTTTATCCTCTCCTGATTGTAGGTTGTTTAAATACTTTTGTGAGTTCACATTTATAGTAGCAGGTAGTACACATTAGAATTGCATACATGTGTAAGAGTAAATCCAAAGTTACTTAGGGACCCTATAGAATACAAACTTGTTACATAAACTCAAACTTCCTTCTGCTTGTCCTGTGCTAGAGCAGAGGATGGGTTATACTTACAGGAGTCTAAGAATCTTTAAGACTGAGAATCCTGCATTTATGTGAGGAAAGCATGGCTAACTCTTCACCCAGAACCTAAAATCTGCCCCCACGTGGCCCTTTAGTTACAGAGCTGACAGTCAGTCCTCCAATCTCCTTCACCCCCACTTCGGGGACCTTCATCTCATGGACATACTATTTTCCTTTTCATCGTTGCCTCCCTCCCCCCCGAATATTTCTCTTACTTTACTCGCTCACTTGTGCATTTAAAGTTTTAGAACTCATTTGCATATCTGATATTATTATAATAAATAAAAGACATTTCTAATTGTTTCTTACAGAGAGATTTTCACTTTATGCTAATAAATATGTTGGTAGAAGCAAGAATCCACACATTTATACATGTGACATATATATAGTGTCATATATGTGACATATATATGGTGTCATATATGACACTAAGCTCAATGGGGTAGTTATTACATTAACAATCTAAAGTCGGTTTGTTCCTTTTCTCCGGCTTGTCCCTACTTAGATTTACTTAGTTTTGGTGTGTTCTTTATTATTTTTTAAAAAGTGTGTTTCTAAAAATGTGTAGTTGTATCTCTAAACGATTAAAGGCAATACAACTGTGAACTTTAGCTCCCAGAGCCAGAGAAGTTTGGACTCTGTTATTTATCTCACAGTGAGTAACTTTTCACAGCTTAGACCTGTCAGGCAAAAGCATAACAGACTGAGAAATAATAAAAAGCCCACAAAATACTCGCATGCCTCCACATCTCTCCCTACCGGATTGTCTCTCCTCCAACCCCCATTGCTGCCCATATGTCTCAATTCTAGCAATTCCACTTACAACATTTAATCCTCAGGAGACTTTCCTGGTCCACTTCCCTTTACCACGCCTGCCCCTCTCTCTCCTTCTAGTAATCCGACTGCTGTATCAACCTTTGAGGCTTAATATGGAGCAACTTCCACATCTCCCGCCTCTCCTACTCAGCCCCCCGCCCCCGCGGATCCAGGGGAACTCCCGTGCACGCGGTGCCACCCGCATTACTCATTCATTCCCAGTCAGGCTTTGCTCAGCATTTATTACGGCCTCTCGGCTCCTGCGTCTCACTCTCGATTTCCTCCACTGGAGCCCCTGGAGCTGGGGAGCCTCTCGCCTGACTCTCCCATCGGTTGTTCCCAGACAGCTATGCATCTTCAGGCCCTCCTGTTCTGCGCTCTCTGGACTGCAGCGTCCGCCGAGAACTCAGATGATTACGAGCTCATGTATGTGAATCTGGACAACGAAATAGACAATGGGATCCAGTCCACTGAGGACCGTAAGTTCAGTGGGATCTTTTATTTGCTCACTCTGAGGGTCTAATTAATGTGCTTTTTATTTTTTTAATCATTGAAATGAGCTGAACATTAGTTTGTTTTGCAAAAGAGAAACACTTTCAGACAGAGGGGGGTTTCCCAAAGTTTTTTTTTCTCTGTAAACTCATTCTGTACAAAATGAGCTGAACCACGTGAAATTGACCATATTTGACTCTTTCGTGCTAGAAAAACAGCAATTTCATAGAGTCCCAGTGTGCATCTCAGTGGCCGTTTCGGTGCCACTCTCGAGATATTTGGGGTTTTTCAGAGGGTGCTTTGAAGAAAGGGGAGAGGGGTGTTAGGAATCGGTTGTAACACGGGCTCCCGGGGAAGTCAGCTCTCAGAGCTCACCTCGCGGAGACCCGGGCAGGCCAGTAACCCGTGTGTCCCGCACCCTAGCCACGCCGTGCGACTGCCGCCGGGAGCACTCGGAGTGGGACAAGCTCTTCATCCTGCTGGAGAACTCGCAGATGCGGGAGGGGATGCTGCTGCAGGCCGTGGACGACGTGCTCCGGGGCGAGCTGCAGAGGCTGCGCGCGGAGCTGAGCCGCCTGGCGAGCAGCCTGGCGAGGCCGAGCGCGCCCGCGGCCCCCGGGGAGGCCCAGCTGGCGCGGGCGCTGGACGAGCTGCTGCAGGCGAGCCGCGACGCGAGCCGCCGGCTGGGCCGCCTGGAGGGCGCGGGGCCGCGGTCGGAGGAGGCGGGGCGCGCCCTGGGCGCGGCGCTGGACGAGCTGCGGCAGACTCGAGCCGACCTCCGGGAAGCGCGGGACTGGGCGGCCCGCCGCACGCTGCCCGCAGGTGAGTCCTCAGCCCCGGCGGGCACCTCCCCGCCCTCCATTAAGGCTCACTGAGCTCCACCTCGTGGGACTCCCTTGTTGGGGGGAGCGCACGCAGACCCACCATTCAAGATGGGGAAACTCTGAAAAGTGTCTCTAGCCTTGGGACTGCTGCAAGTAATCATCCTGTTCAGGCGCGCAGGGCCCCAGACACAGGATCCAATGCCAGAGTTGTGATGGCCCTTAATAGCCATGACCCTTCACATCCCCCAGCGTCTCCTCCGTTCCAGATCACCACTTCCAATTTTAGCCTGCCTCTCTGGTTAGGGAATCTCTGGTCCCCCACACTATTTTAGGGACCAGACTAATTTCTGAGGGATGATTTCCAGCCCTCCCCGGTGGCCCCTCCTCAGTGCCACCTCTGAGCTGCTCAGAGCACAGGGGGGAATCTGATCTCCTGCCGGAATTCCTGAGGGGTTCAGGCCCCCAGGCCTGGAATGAGAGCTTGGAGTGGAGGTCTGTGGGTGTGTGAGTGAACGGTGGTTGAGGGAGGGATTCAAATAACACCGGTCAGATGGAGGATTTGAGACACTCTTCAACCAAGGGACTGGGAAAATCCGGACCAGAGTCAGTTCAAGCCAGGTGTAATTTGTCAAAATCCCCATAAACAAGTGAGTTTCCTAAATAATACAAGTTAAAAACATGGTTAAAAGAAACGGATAGATTCAGACTTTTTGAGTCAAAATTACTTAGAAAAAATTAAATGGAACCCAGCCCTGGAGGCCTGGTGATAAAAACTGCGCTATAATTCCACAACCCTGCAGTGGGAGCCCACCAGCTGCTCCGAGGGAGATGCGCCCTCTACTCCCAAACAATTAACTGCCTCTGAAAACCCGCTGGAGGGTCAGCTAGGGGGCATTTCCAACTAGATGGCACACAGCAACAACACTGTCCTTCTGTCAGGGAGCTCTGGTGGCTTAATGGTAAGGAGTTGCACTGCTAACTCAAAGAAATTGGTTCGAATCCACCAGTTGCTCCACTGCTATAAAATGGCCAATCTCCCCTGGTTTGATTAATTCCTCAGAAGACCTACCTGAAGGCCAACTTTGAGTCGGTCCCCAATCCATGGTACATAACAACAATCCTCTGTATTTCTATTGAAACTTAGTGGATGGAGTTGAAGGAAGAAGTGTGTGTGTGAAGTCATACTTAGTTTGCAATTAGTGAAGCCTCCAGAAACTCTATGGACTTTGATAAATGTCGATAGTTATAGAAAGGCTACAGAAAGGCTTTAGTTCATAGGGTTGCTATGAGTCGTGCTCCACTTGAAGGCAATCAATACAACAACAACAACATACCAGTATTTAGGAAACTCTGATGGCCTAGTGGGTAAGGAGTTGTGCTGCCAACCCAAAGACACACAGTTCAAATCTACCAGCTACCTTGAAGGACAACACAACATGCCTTTCCATCTGGGGACTTTTTATCAGTGCATATTTTCTTAAAATATTAAGTAGGACTTCAAAGAAAGATAGCATAAAATAACTTGCAGCTTATAAATGTGAAACATAAGGAAGCTGTGCTGCAATTCCGAGGGCAGGCAGTTCGAATCCACCAGCTGCTCCTCGGCAGAAGGATGGGCAGTCTCCTCCCATAGGATTAACTGCCTCTGAAAACCCGCTGGAAGGTCAGCTATGGGTCAGTTCCGACTGGACGGTACATAACAACAATTATAATTACATAGGTGTTTTAAAGGCATGGCATTCTTTACATTTTCACCTTCACCTCTGCACACCATTTAAAGCAAAATAGGAGGGATGGGATTCTGAGTTCTAAAATGCTGACTTGTAATTGCATCTAACACTGTTTTCCCTACAGGCGCTAAGATCTTCTCTTGGTCTCTTGCCAGCTTGACTCTTTAAGGATTCCTTATCATTCTGTTGTCAGCCTTCTAAGAAGCTGGTTTTCATTTTCTTTTGTCTTTGATAATACACACAGAAAAACCTATTAGTTAAAAAGCCACTTCCTGAGAGTTTCTGACTTTTAAAGAAGTATCAGTGGCCGCAAAAGAAGCCCACAGAAAAACCAAACAAAACCCAAACTGCCTGCTGGTGGTTTTATTCCATTAACTTGTGCAGGCAATGAAAGCTGGAGAGGAAGCTGGGTCTCTGAGACGCAATCATGAAACCCTTTAGAATGCAATCGCAGCTACCCCAGCTTATTTAAACAGGAAGCCAATTAAGGAGATTGAAGTAGGCACCCTCTTGCCGGCTGCATTATAAACCATACAGGGAATATTTCAAATGCCTGGGAATTCGGTGAGCTTTTGTTCCAAGATCTTTATTTGATTTCATTAACGAAGAGAGAGGAGGGAAAAAATCACCTAGCAACTCCATTTAGAAACAGAAGCAGTGCTGTTACAATTGTATTTACACAGTTCCTGTTCAGAGGAAATGTTAACACCAGCCCGTAGCAGGAACAGTTTGTGCTTTAGTATTTTTCTTTTCCCTAACTCTCAAGATGTTCTTTGTCTATTGCTGAAAGTGAAGATTTGTTGCAAGTTCATTGTTTTCTTGTTAAAGCCTTATCTGGAGTCATATGCTGAGGTTACTATGGGCACCATAGCTTTGGGTTGATTCCCAAATGGGCATTGGGTTTTTGAGGCTGTAAACATTAATGGAAGGGAAGTGCTCATCCTTTCTTCCAAGAAGTGGCAGGTGGATTTGAACTGTCCACATTTGGGTTAGCAGACCAACAGTTAACCTCCCAGGCCTCTACTTGTTAGTCTTGCTCCGGGAGTTTGCTTTTCAAAGCTATCCATGGCAAGTCTTTAGATTGCTGTGAATACTCCCAAAACCCACTTCCATGGAGAAAATTGTGGCTCACAGAGACCCTGGAGGACAGAGTAGAACTGCCCTCAGGGCTTCCAAGGTAGAATCTCTATGGAAGCACACTGCCAAGGTTTGCCCCGCAGAGTAGCTGGTAGGTTTGAACCTCTAACCATATGCTTGGCAGCTGGGAGCTTAACCACTGCCACCAAAGTCTCCTTCTTATAAAGTGAATACGTCAAAGTAAATCTATAGCCATCAAGTCATAGCGGTCATATAGGACAGAGTAAGGCCCTGAGAGTTTGTGTGGCTGGGAAGGATTACAGGAACAGCCTGCCTCATCCTTGTCTGGTGGAAAGGCTGGCTCCAATCATGCCCATCTTCTGAGTGGGAGCCTAATCCTTAATCTAAAGTGCCACAAGGGCCTCCTTGGAAAGTGAATAACTAGTTCTAATTTAATTTTTTTAAACCTTTCTTTATGTGGGTTTTCACATCTGAGATTAGCATAAAACAACTCACCTTGTTAAAGGTTTTACCCAGTGTCATCGAATTGATTCCACTTCAGAGTCACCCTCTATCTGAGTTCTGAGACTGTAAATCTTTCTTTATGGGAGAAGATTGTTCTCTTGAGAGACAACTGGAGGACTGGAACCATCAGCTTCATGGTGAACAGCCTGATGTGTTACAAACTATGCTACTAAGGCTCTTTGTTAAAGGTTTAGTGCTATTGTTCCTAAGAGACCTCTCAAAAGCTCATTGCCAGCCAGTTGGAACTGACACACAGCTGATGGATCCTCCAGTGGGTCTTCAGAGGCTATAAATTGAAAGGGAAGACACTGACTGCTCATCTTTCTCCCTTAGAGCAGTTGGTGAATTTGATCCACTTGTTTTTGCATTGGCAAGGCAACTCCTTTTCTACTAGGCCACCTGAGGAGAGAGGGAGGGAGAAAAAGAGAGGGAGGGAGGAAGGGAAGGGAGAGTGGGGGTGAGAGAGAGAGAGAGAGAGATCTCTAGAAGATTTTAATTCAGTGTCTTCAGCCTTCCAGCTGGCCATATGACTGAAAAAGGCAGGGCATTACTGAGCTCCCAACATCAAGTTTCAAAAGCTTCCTCTTCCTAAATGCTCTTTACTAGAAGCACGTTCTCTACTGGGGGTCCTTGGGGTGGGGGGAATCACTTCTCCTAAGGCTTTCTTTTTCATTAGTACTTAATTAAATAGCATTTAGAAGCACGTGACAAGATGAGTTTTTAGAGATATCCTTCATAGCTCTTGAGTGCTACACATACTTGTTGCTTGCAGATGCGTAGAATATTAGAGGCAGAATGGAAGGACCGTTTACAGATCACACTGGAGCCTGGAGAGATTAGGAGGGGCTTTGTTATAAGGAGTTGTTTAAATTGTTAGTGGCAAAACCAACTGAACACCATCGAACTCTTTTAGCCAAATCTTTTACTAAAAGGCAATGCCGTATTCTGGGTATGGGCCTCTGTAATTAGATTGTCCAAGGACAAACCTTAGACGTGCTGCTTTACCAATTATGTGATCATAAATTATTTAGCCTGCTGTGCCTCAATATTCCCAGCTGTAAATTGGGGACACTAAGACTACCTCTTAACGTTAACATGAAGATTCAAACAGCATGCAGAGTGGTTAATTTAACTATATTTTACTATTTTGGTATTGCACTTAGTAAACTTGGAGTACACATCATTACTATTATTGCCTTTCAACCTTGGTGCCTTTCAAAGGAAAATTTCTACATAAGTATACAAATATATGAGAATGTGTGATACATTAACATGTACTTAGTAGAAATGTGACTATGCTAGAGTTTTATGCTTTTAAAAAATGCATGTTGACAATGGCTGTATGTTGAGCGTGCTCCACTGAACTAACTCCCTATGTTCTCTGGGAAGTGAAAACAGGTTTCAGGTTTGTATTCTCCCAGAGGTACCTTGGCAGAAAAGCCTGACAATCCACTTGCAAAGAAATCAGCCATTAAAAACTATGGAGCAGCATTCTGCTATCAGAGTTATCAGAGTCAACTGTACAGCGTGGGTTATCGTAGCTGCCTTATGAAGACAGAGTGGATGGGCATGTCTCTGAGTTCTTAGAAATAATGGGATCATTGCAGGAGTAAGTCTAGTAATCAACATTAAGCAAACAGAAACAACTGAAATAGCAAATAGACTAACTGGGTCAGAAAGAACTTGTCTGTCATTATTTTGTGAATTTGGATTATCTTCCCAGCCACCCCTTCTACTCTATTTAGATACTTACTTCCTTTCTTTGAATAAGAAAATTCGCCTTCCTTATTTTCCATCTCTTTACAGAGAGATTACGCATGAAGCCCTTCCAATCTTAATTCATTCATTACAGCATGTAATGCCCAGTATTCATTAAAATGCCTCTACTGAAATGTCAAAATTCTATTAACAATTCTGAGTGAATTTCTATTTTCTCATTTTCTTCTTTCTTTATTGTTTCAATAGGTTGTGAAACAGCAATTTTATTCCCAATGCGTTCTAAGAGGATTTTTGGAAGCGTGCATCCAACAGCCCTTATGAAGCTTAACGCTTTTAGTGCCTGCCTTTGGGTCAAAGCCACTGATGTTTTAAACAAGACCATCCTGTTTTCCTATGGCACGAAGAAGAATCCGTATGAGATCCAGCTGTACCTCAGCTTTCAGTCCACGGTGCTCGTGGTGGGTGGGGAGGAGAACAAACTGGTTGCAGATACGGTGGTTTCCTTGGGGAGATGGACCCACATATGTGGTACCTGGAATTCAGAGAGTGGGCGCTCATCGTTGTGGGTGAATGGAGACCTGGTGGCTTCCTCTGCAAAGATGGCCCTGGGTCATGCAGTTCCCGAGGGAGGAATCCTGCAGATAGGTCAAGAAAAGAATGGCTGCTGTGTGGGCGGTGGCTTTGATGAGACTTTAGCCTTTTCTGGAAGACTCACAGGCTTCAATATCTGGGATCATGTTCTCAGCCATGAAGAGCTAAGAGAGGCTGGAGCTGCAGAGTCTTGTCACATCCGGGGAAATGTTGTTGGATGGGGTGTCACGGAAATCCAGCCACACGGAGGAGCTCAGTATGTATCGTAAGGGTTGGGATACTCTACTTGACGCCAAAGAAAGAACAGGCATGTATTTAAAATGCCAGTTGGGAAGGTCTAAAAACCTCAGTGCATAACGAAAACACTTGAGACTAATGAAGGGGAGCGTTGAGATTGGCCTGTATTTATCTTGGCTAAATCCTGAATAAACAGTTGAAGGGAAGATATTGGAGAAGGCTGTTGGGATATTGTTACTAGACTCTCTGCCATGGTGCTTTCAGATTAATGCTGTGTCTTTGTCAGATCAATTCTCAAATAATTAAAAAGGACTGAATTGTTGAACAGAAGGACAATTGTTTTCTTTTCCTCTGGTTAATTTTATTTTGGCCAGAGATGAGTTTTGCATTGGAAGAATAATAAAATAACATTTGTTGTTCATTATTCATTGTTATTGGTATATACCATATTATAAAAAATGATGGAACATATTTATACTACAATGTGACTTAACAAATATAAATGTAGTTTACATATTATAATTGAATGTTGCTTTTTTTGGAGGACATAGTTGTATAAGTTATATTGTAAAATGTTTTGTATTAATTTTATTAAGACTATTTTTGTAAAGCCCTACTGTAAATAAAATCTTTTATAAAATTTGAGCATGTTATCCATAAATTGAAGAGCTCTTTTGGAACAAAATACTACATTTTTTGTCTAAAATATATAAACGTTTTGAGAGATTCATCTAATGTGGTGAAGAGTAATAGTTAATGTTGTTAGAAACAAACTGTAGAGTTCTTGTTGGGTTGTTTGTCTTTTTTTATAATTATATACTTTTATTCATTTGTACAATAGTTGTTGTTGTTGTTGCTGCTATGTGCCGTTGAGTCACTTGCGACTCATAGCGACCCTATGTACAACAGCCCTAAACTCCTCTCTGTCCTGTGCCAATCGCACCGTCTCCGACACTCCCATCCCAATTATCCCAGTCATTGAATCAATCCACCTCATAGAGGGCCTTCCCCTCCTGCGCTGTCCCTTCACCCTCCCAAGCATGATGTCCCTCTGCAAGGACTGGTCTCTCCTCACAACATGTCCAAATTATGTTAGACGGAGCCTCAGAATCCTTGCCTCCAAGGAGCCACCCGGTTTAACCCTTTCCAGGACAAATCTGTTTGTTTTCCTAGCAGTCCATGGTATTTTCAATACTCTTCTCCAGCATCACAGCTCAAAGGCATCAATTCTCTTTCTATCCTCCTTGGTCATTTTCCAACTCTCTGATGCATAACAAGTGATTGTGAAGACCATGGCCTGTATCAAATGCACCTTAGTCTCCAGAGAGACACCATTGCTCTTCAGTACTTTGGAGAGGTCCCTAACAGCAGACTTTCCCATGGCAATGCGCCTTTTAATTTCCTGGCTACTGGTGCCAAGAGTGTTGACTGTGGAGCCAAGCAAACTAAAGGTTAGAACAATCTTCAGTCTCTTCACCATCCATCCTGATGCTGCCAATTGGTCCAGTGATGAGAATCTTTGTCTTCTTGACATTGAGCCTCAATCCATATTGTAGGCTGCAGTCCTTGACACTCTGCAGCAGGTGCTTCAGATCCCTCCTCAGTTTCAGCAAGCAGAGTTTTGTCATCCGCATAACGCAGATTGTTGATAAATCGTCCACCAATCTTGACCCCACATTTCTCCTCATAGAGCCCAGCCTCCCAGATAATCTGTTCTGCATATAGGTTGAAAAGGTATGGAGAAAAAAAAAAAGAAAAGGTATGGAGATAGGATGCATCCCTGGCGTACGCCCTTCCCAATTTTGAACCATGCGGTGTTCCCTTGCTCTGTTCTGACGACTGCCTCCTGGTCCAAGTATAGGTTTCTCATTAGCACGATCAAGTGTTCTGGGATTCCCATTCTTCTCAGAGTCAGCCACAGTTTGTTATGATCCACACAGTCAAATGCCTTTGCATATAATAGAGTTGTTTTAAACTTTAGCTCCCTTGAACTCATAAGCAAGAAATATGATCTTTGTTACTCAATTCATCTTTCTGGGTTTTAATTTTCTCTACTAAGAAATCAAGAAAATATAGAAACTAATAGGAATACTGATTGCTCAGTGGGTAAGGAGTTGTGCTGCCAATTGAAATATAGGTGGTTCAAATCCATGAGCTACTCTGTGAGAAAGTATCTATCTTCAGAAGCGTAATTTACATGCTCTGAAAACTCCCTGGAGGATCAGCTATGAGTAGATTCGGACTGGACAGCCATGAGTTACAATCTGTTAACGATATCCAACTCCCTTCCAGTTTGATGATTCTATGAGCTCACATAGCTACTGTGAAGTAGGGGCAAGTCCATGAATTACCATGCTTGCCAGTTATATGTGATACTTGCAAACAATGGTTTAGAAGGGTAATGTGTGGAAATCTAAAAATTGGAAATGAAACAATAACTCTTTACCTTAAAACATACCCATTGTCTTACTTTCTCATGAAGAGAAGACAGTCAAGGACCCTCATACTTTATGAGGAGCTAACCCCCCCCCCCACTATTCTTCTTGTAGATAGGTGCTGATAGAAGAATGTTTTAAGGCAACATTCTTGAATGTCCACAGGAAATCCAGTAGCACCACAGTGGTGGGGCTTGAATAACTACAGGCTGTTCCCTCCCCATGAGGGCAGCAGACTGTTTGGGTCTAGGACAAAACAGGACAGGAACTAATTATCAAACTACATTTTACAACTAAGAGGGTGTCATTAGAAAAGGTGGTGAACTCCTCTGGGTCTTCTCCAAAGTGTGTTGGACGTTTAGTGTCTCAGCAAGATAGATAGATAGATAGATAGATAGATAGATAGATAGATAGATAGATAGATACAACAGATAAAAATAAAAATCATGCAGCTAAGGATCTTTGAAGCTTTACACAAGATGTGGAAGGGAAAAGACAAGGCCTTCTAAGAAAATCATAACTTTTATGAGCTATTAGACTCTTTCTTTGGAGATTACAGAATGTCAAGTTGCAGGTAAAAAGTCCCTTTCTAGTTGTTCTTTGCCTGTATGACTTGAACTCTGAGTAAAGGAATATGAGGTTCAACTTAAGGTAGAGCTCAGCATGCTTTCAAGTTTCAACATAAGTTAGATTTGTTCTAGAAATCCAAGATGATGCAGGTCAAGATACATGCAAGTTCACATGCTGACACAGTTAAGGCTAAGAGAACTTTCTTTTTTTATAGTAATTATATGTCAAGGGCAAAGAAGCAGCAAGCAAAGGGAAATGAAGTAGTTTCAAAAAAAGAGATTTCATCAGTGATAGCAGAAATCTTAGAATATGTTCCAAAGACTTCTAATTGTTCCCTGATACCTATCTTCTCTTTTCTCCTTAGTAATAAAGTTCAGATTTTTTTTTTTAGTGGCACATTGACCTCTTAGAGGTAAAGATCACACTCTCTCCAGTTATGACTTAATTCTGAACAATACTGAAATAACTGCAAGTGCTCATCAGGAAACAGCCTTCTCTTTCTCTTCCTTCTTCTGGTTGACTGGAATGTGGTAAAGATGGCTAGAATTTCAGCATCCACTTTCCACCATGAGATTCAGCACAATACAGAAGTAATTAGGTTTCTAGTGATTGCCTAGCTGTCCCTCACCTGAGCTGTCTGTCCCTGGTTGGCTTTTATATGAGAGAAAAACATTTTATTATCTTTAATTCACTTTTGATTGACCATCTAGTCGTCATTCAGTAATTCTTATTTTTTTAAGAAGTGCACTTTGCTCTCTCAAACATTCATAGCCTATACTCAGAAGTTATATTTCACAGACTCTCAGGAAATCAACATTTTATTTCACTTTAATCAATAGAAGCAATCAATAGAACTCTGAGAGTTGGACAGCGAATAAGAATGACAAAAGAAGAATTGATGCCTTTGAGCTGTGGTACTGCAGAAGAGTACTGAACATTCCATGATTCCCAAAAGAACAAACAAACTGGAGAATGTGCAGCCAGAGTGCTCCTTGGAGGCAAAGATGATGAAGCTTTGCATATACTTTGGGCGTGTTGCTAGGAGAGGCTATTCCATAGAGAGGGATAACATGTTTGGAAAGGCGGGGGGCCAGCGAAGAAGAGAAAGACCCTCAACCAGGTGTATTGAAACAGTGATTGCCACAATGGGCTCTAGTGTGTCAGGAAGTATGAAGATGGCACAGGTTAAGACAGAGTTCAGATATGTTTTTCATAGGGTCTCTATGAATCATACTCAATTTTATGGCACTTAACAATAACAACAACAACAACAAAATTTAGTAAACTTGAAAATACAAATTGTTGGTGCTTGTATCTAGTCCCATAAATGTGGCATGGTCAAACAAACAAACCAAAAAACCACAAAACTTACTGGGATTGGGCACCATCAGAAATACAGGATTCAAATACTGGTGTTAACATTTATTAACTACAAAACTGCATTCTAATCTAAGTAATGTTTTGATGGCTAAGAATTTAGGGCTAAAATGCTTACCTATGCTGCTGAAGTGTTATTATTAAAATCACATAAAACAGGATAATACACTTTCTAGGGGGAAGAAATAATTTTTGAAGAAAAATATTTACAAAACTTGTTTCCAAGTATATTAAAACTTATGCTTTTGTGTACCATTGAGTCAGAACCAACTCATAGCTGACCCTTTGAAGGGTTTTCAGAGGCAGTAAATCACACAGGATGAGATTGTGCATCTTTCTCCCATGGTGTATCTGGCAGATTTGAAATGGTAATGCAACTCCTTACCACTATCCTGCCAAAGCTCCCTTCAAAAACATATATAAGCAAACAAACACAAACATAAACAAGTAAGTGGACTGAGATTAGATGCTGTTTTCCGAGTTCAGCTCTAGAATGTCCCCATCTTGCAGGTTTTACACTACTTCACAGCAACATCTGCTGGTGAAATCAAAGAAGTGCAAACTTTGACACACCAGCTTTAAGCCTTGATGAAAAATCCCAGAAAGGTTCTTTTCTGTTTCAAGATGTGCCTTTATTTCTTAATACTTGT